AATTTAAAAAAAATTTTTTTTAAAATTTTTTTATCCAATCAGAATTAGTATATAATATATTCTGATTGGTTAAAAAGCATTTATATATACCCAAAATTTGGCGCACTTGATTAGAAGTAACTTGGAGCACCATAGTAAAGTAATTAGCAGTTAAAGATTTTATTCTAATTATTAATTTTAAATAAACTTTATAGTAAAAAATTAAACCAAATCTTTAAATTAATATATCTTAGCAAGTTTTAATATAATTTTAATAATTTACTACTTTAGAATCATAGAAACCTACTCTACAACTTTACTTAGAAAGCTAAAAAAGATTTAATTAGTAAAATTTTTCGTAATTTAAATTACAAAAAAATATATATATATACATACAAATCATATGATATATACATTCTACCCTTAAACACGTGATAATTTATGATTATCTAATCGAAAATTATTAAAATCATGCTAAAATTAGCGTTAGGAGCATGAAATTATCACTAAATTCACTAGCTAACATAAAGAGCACGAATTTATAGAGCACGAAAATAATTTTCGTTATCTCATTGGTCAACTTGTTTAACTCGGGTTATGACTCGGGCCATTATCTCCTTGTTTTAGACCCGGGTCATGTCTTTAATTCTTTATATAAAAAATTAAAATTGTAAAGCGAAATTCGAATCGATTAGTTTGAAGCCAACTTTAAAAACTAATTTGCATGTAACGTATACAATATAAATATTTTTGATACGTTATCTATATTTAAAAGATTACATACAAAATCTTTACTTATAAACAAGTTTAACATAATAAGTTAATTAGTAATCTATATTTTAAAAGATTACTTACTGTATAAACAGGTTTAACATAATAGGTTAATTGATATTGTTACTAATTATTAGATTAGTAAATGAAAATTTTCACGATATCGGAATACTTTTAGTAAGGTATGTATGTATATCTATCGCTGTATCAATATGCGATTTTTATAACTAGTATACCTTATTGGTGAGAGTATGGTGATGTGAAACTTTCCTACGGGTTTTTCTTAATAGCGATAGAGCCTGTTTATTAATTACCTAAATATAGTATAGTCATTTTCACAAGCCTTAAAATGATTAACTCCTGGATAAATCACCTGATAAAAAACCGCCAACATTACATATTTGAACTGTTTTCAATTGGCGTGGAAAATTGGATTTTTTTGACGAATAAGGATGGTTAAGTGATATTTTTTAATTCCTTTAATAACGTGTAACAAGAGTCGAAAAATTTTTTCTAATACTGGTAGTCAAAGAAATGTCTTACAGCATAGAAAGCATCGGAAAAATTCGTAAGTGATTCACTTATGGTGATCGGTGGAACAATAAAGATAACATTGAACACGTAGATTAAACAGTACAAACTTAAACGTTATTTTTTTTTAGTCAATTTTATAAAGCGTTTAAGTTATTAACGAATTGTAAATATAATTCTAATATAAAAAATTTAATTCTCTAGAGAAATATTCTATCACTCCTTCTTTCCTTTTCTTTTGTAAGTTTTTCGATAAAATCTAATGAATAACACCAGAAAACTTCCATTGCAAAATATTGAGAATAAAAATGTTGAAAACCCGTATTGGCAATTCTTTGTAAAATGATAAAAAAGGTATGGCACCGATAATATAAATGAAATTGAAAACTGAATGATCTGTCCAGTTGTAATATATCGCTAATTATCGATGTAAAAAAAAAAAGATAAATTGGGTAGTTCTTTTTGTTAATTAAATAAACGATATCTATAAATTTTACCTTGAACCAGACCGATCTTCCTAATACCGAGGCAAAGTAATAATAATACATAAAAATATGTATGAAAGTATTTGCAATCATACCAATACTTTTTTTATACGTGGCAAAATATTTTAAAAAAAATTTTTTTTAATATTCTTTGATAAATTTAACAGGTTTAATCATTATATAACTTTCCTTACCTGGCATAAATATTCGCATCCTGTAGCCATGACCAAACCATTAGAATTACAATTGCATGATGATACCAATGTAAAAAAATTATATCCTTCTATTAAACAATAAAAACAACAACAAACATATATTAATGAAATCATCATGGAATGATTATTGAATGAAATTTTTAACTTACTTTCTTGAGTACTAATATCACTGTATCGATCAATTCAATAAATTTTGATAGATAATAGATATATATGCCATAAAATAATCTACCCTTCAAAGATGAATCATCCGAGGTGCAAAAACATTCACCGATATCACGTTCCTAATAATTAGGATAAAAGTAAAATAATAAATAATAAATAATAAATATCGTAAACCACACATTTTTTAATTAATGAGTGTGTGCTTATTCACTGGTTATTTGAAAATCGATAACATTCTGATTTAGTGATTGATTAGCCTTTAGGGAGAACGTAATTAATTTAGAGTCTTAACGTTAATCATTTGCTTTTATTAAAAGCAATAAAATTACATTATTGTAATCCATACATAAATATTTATAGTTATAATTATGTCAATATTGTTCGATACTAATAAGTGTGCTTATTTATAGAACATAAATTTTATTATAGGTTTACGGTATACGTATGATATATTACGAACACGTAAAACGCGATAAACTAACCTGCCATCGTTTAAAAAAGTCTATTATGACGTATCCGAACATGGTCGCAGACAATATACATAGAAATAAATTATGTGCAGCAACAACACCTCGCAAGGTGAAAGGCGATCGAGATTTCATAAATCTCTTGATAAAATTTTGTTAGGAAAAGTTATTTCAAAAAAAAAATTTTGAGGTCAATATTCGATAAATACCTTTAATCCAATTATTATAATAAAATATGTTATCCAAGAACAAATAACGATCTAAAAAAGTTAATAAATGTATTAATTTAAAGTTTTATTTTGAAATTAATTCAAATTGTATCGCGTTCACCTGTATATTAGAGAATGGAGTGATTCCAACTTTCCATTGAAAATCATGTGGATTCGTTAATTGTGAATAGTCCCATTTTGAATGATCAAGTGGAGTTGAAAGAAATTCCATAGTTTTTGAACCGTTAAAAATATTAAACATATTAAAAAGATAGTAGATGAAAAATTTTTTAATTCTGAAACTTTATTAAATTAACTTATAAAATATCTGTTACATTGCGTTAAAGCTACATGACTGCATTTTGTGTTACATGTCACTATAAGAATAGACGAGGTATATCACGACAGTGTGCTACCTATTGTGTTAGTCCTAATAAGAACCATTTAATATATTAGAGTTTGTATTAAATATTGGTTTTGATTAATTTGAAATGGTTAGTCTAAAACGTTTAGATTTGGCAATAATATTCAGATTTTCCAGAGCAAATTTTCTTTACAAATTTTAGCTTTGAATCATTTCAGAAAAAATGTAGAAAGTTTTGTAGTGTATATATGTTTGAATTCATTAGTTAATATTGTTGGTATTGTTCCTTGGATAAGTTACCGTAGCGGTAGTGATAGAATTATTTATAGTATTAGGGTTCGTGTGACGCATTTTTGCTGTGTCAAATTAGATCTGCAGTTTTTCGGTAATGCGGAACTTTTCGGCGATGAAAATAATTAAATGACTCAATTCTCCGAGAGTGCTAATGAAAAATATTTATTAATACGCCGAAATGTTCCGCAATGCATGATTTATGAAAATATATATAGTTGTGGTGTCCCCCATGGCTTTAACCTTTTAGATTTTTGTTTGATTATGAATACGTTGTATAAACCTCATTTGTCAATTCGTATATTCTCTAAAAAATTCTCAAATAATGTTTTGAAAACTCGGTTATCCTATAATTCTCTGTTTAACCGTTCAATTCATGAAAAGCATTATTCTGTTGTTGCAAAAGTGCAACATACTAGGGTAGAAGAAGAACTTCATGAAAAAGCTCATATCGATTATGATCGTGTCGCTATAAAATGGAATCCTTCAATTGCAAAATTGTATGAAGATGCTTTGAAATACGAGGAGGGATCGGCAATTAGTTCAACTGGTGCCTTGGTAACTGCCTCTGGTATCAAGACTGGTCGTTCTCCAAAGGATAAACGTATCGTCGACGAACCTGGTTCTTCTAATGATATTTGGGTAATGAATATTTAATTATATATTTATTATTATTATTAATTATGCTTAATCGTCTTCCCCTTTACTAAATTTGGCGCGTCCTGATTTGTCGGTCAATCATTTACTTTTCAGTGGGGACCCGTTAACACGAAATTACCCGAACAGGTTTTTCTCATCAATCGTGAACGTGCAGTAGATTATTTAAATACTCGTAAGAGGATCTACGTCTTTGATGGTTTTGCGGGGTGGGATCCTAAATATCGTATTAAGGTTCGTGTGGTATCCTCACGTGCCTATCACGCATTGTTCATGCGTAATATGTTGATTCGTCCTACCGCCAAAGAACTTGAATCTTATGGTTCTCCCGATTTTACCATTTATAATGCCGGTGCTTTTCCCGCAAATCGTTACACCACTGGTATGACATCTACTACATCAGTTGCCCTTAATTTTCATATGAATGAAATGGTCATCTTGGGTACTGAATACGCTGGTGAAATGAAAAAGGGAGTGTGCGTATCACAATTTTATTATAGCTTTATTATATTTTTATTAATATAATAATAATAATAATAATAATTTATTTTAATTACCTATATTTTTTTTAGTTTCACTGTTATGCATTATATAATGCCTGTCAAACATAATGTTTTATCCTTACATTCTTCTGCTAATGAGGGTCATGGAGGAGACGTATCCATTTTCTTTGGTTTATCTGGTACTGGCAAGACTACACTATCTGCTGATCCAAAACGTCTCTTAATTGGTGATGATGAACATTGTTGGTCAGACGATGGTATCTTTAACATTGAAGGAGGCTGTTACGCAAAATGTATTGGTCTATCTCCTGAAAAGGAACCAGAAATTTACAACGCCATCCGTTTCGGATCTGTCTTGGAAAATGTTGTCTATAATCCATATTCACGTGAAGTAAATTATGATGACAGTTCACTAACGGAGAATACACGTTGTGCTTACCCGATTGAATACATTCCCAATGCCAAAGTACCTTGCATTTCATCAGATCATCCGAAAAATCTTATTTTATTGACATGTGATGCGTATGGTGTTCTTCCACCAGTATCAAAACTATCACCAGCTCAAGCAATGTATCACTTTATTTCTGGATATACCGCCAAGATTGCTGGAACAGAAGAAGGAGTCACCCAACCAGAAGCTACTTTTTCTGCTTGTTTTGGTCAACCTTTCCTTGTACTTCATCCTGCACGTTACGCGAAGATGTTGGCTGAAAAAATGCAACAACATTCTGCTGATGCTTGGTTAATTAATACGGGTTGGAATGGTGGAGCTTATGGAGTTGGTGAACGTATAAAGCTTAAATACTCCCGTGCTATCATTGATGCTATTCACTCCGGAGAACTTTCCAAAGCAGAATATGAATCCTATGGTGTCTTTAATTTGCAGATTCCAAAATCATGTACGGGCGTTCCATCTGAACTATTAAACCCCTCAAAAACTTGGAAAGGTAGCGAAAATGAATTCAAGGATATTCGAAATTCATTAGCAAATAGATTTATTCAAAACTTTAAGGATTATGAAGATCAGGCCACACCTGAAATTATTTCGGCTGGACCTATCCTATCGTAGATTTTTTTTTGTAAAAAAAGAAAAGAAAAAAAAAAAAAAAAGAATAAACTAGACATTATCGAAAAAGATGTGATGATAATTGCGGATATATAAAAAAATTAATTTATTAATTTAACTAAATCTTATAAAAAAGAGCTATATACAGTATAATCACTATTTTAAAAAATATTTTTGAATAAAATTTTTAAAATTACTAAATTCCTCGCTTTTTGATTTAATAATCAACAAAAAAAAAGTATCTTTTTAAACAATAAACATACAATCTATTATATTAATATTTTTCATTTATAATCTTTTTTTTTTTTTTGTCACGTCTAGACGTTGCTACTAACTTCAATGAAACACAATTCTAGGTCTTTTATCTTTGTGAGACGCGTATAATGGTAACGGTCAATAATAATATAAAGTAAACGCGAAATAATTCTTTTTATTTGCATATAACAGATAAAGAGGATGCGAGGTAATAAAAAATCTTTTACTTGCATAATAACATAGAGAGGACGCGAGGTATAAAAAACCTTTATTATATAGAGTACGGACACGTACAGTACTTGAAAAAAAAAAAAACCATTATCATCTAATTATTCGTGTGTCATCAAAATAAAACCAAAATAAAACCAGAATAAAAGTTTATTTCTTTATACACATTGCACTTTCTAAATCCGCCGATTGGCATTCTTCTGTCGCGTGAACAACAAAATATTCGTATTTCTTTTCTTTCCTTCCTCTTACCATGCTAAGAATGACAGGAACTACGGCTGCGAAAGCAGCTACAGCTACAAAAATCACGAAAAACGGCCCGAATATATAATCAGAAATAGGTTTTTTGAAAAATGAATCATTTTCATTTTCATTTTCATCTTCATCTTCGGTTTGAAGAGTTTCTGGAGAGAAAAGAGTAGTGACGAATAAGTTTTCGCTATCAGGTTCGCAACCTTGAAATGAAGTTTCATAGGGATCGTATTGCTGATCTTGATCTTGAATCGATTCAGAATTTGTAAATGATGGATCATTATCTAGAGTCATCTTTAACTCGTCATCTATTTCATCATTTACATCAGGAAGATCAAAGATTTTATCAATGAAATCTGAAAATTCATCCTCATTATTTTTTGTTTCTGATAAATCTGGAGTTCCTACGATAGTAATTTCGATGGTAGTAACTGAAGAATCATCATCATCAAAGTTATTGAAATTCAAAGAGTCAAGCATTGCCTCTGTAGCTTCAATTGATAAATCCACAAGTTCATCCATTGCTTGAAAAGGATTTGAATGAAAATCTGGTTTCGAAGACATAAATTCATCGAATGGAGAAGGAAAATGATGATCGTTGAGTAACCATGGATCTCGGCTAGAGAGATCCTTTAATTGATTATCTTCAAGTTGACAATTCGCGGTGGATAAGAATAAAGTGAGGATCGTGAGTAGCAAAAATGTGAATTTTATCATTTTGAAATAATCTAA